TTTTTTTTTTTTTTTTTTAGCTTTTATTCCGATAATACAGGAACTCTGGGAGGGAGTGCAGAGGAAGACACTCAGCAAATGGCCTTGGGGCGATACCCCTACATATATGGGTTGCTTTCTTAATTCAGTGAGCTACACCAGGCTTACCAGATTTAATGGCCATAATTGGTGCATTATTGTGAACAGAATACTCAACTGCTGACTTATGTATCAGTTGCCCTTACAAAGCAGAGTATGGGGGAACTGCACATTACTAACTGACAGTTAGTTCCAGAGTACATACCTGTTTATTGTCTGCTTCATGGCTTTACATGCATAAAACTTCCCATCTTTTAAGCTCTGAGTTTTCAGGACCTCTGAAAATGTGCCTTCCCCAATTTTCTTGATTATTTTGTAGCCTGCAACAATTCATAAAATAGACATATAAAAGGTTGTCAAAAAACAAGAATACATTATTTCTCATATTAATATTATGAACAATTTAAACTGTGTGTGTAATTGCACAGGAAAAAAACAAGTCTGCCTAATCTAGAGGGGAATCCTGTGCTCCACAGACAGTAAAAACTAGAACACGCCCCATTGGACAATAAAGCCCATGATAATTTTGGTGGGAGACAGGGAGCTGTCATTCTCTAATGTTGGATGTTGAGGGCTAATAATAGCCCTCAACATCCAATTGAAGACATTTTGTCTTCAAACTGTGAGAAAACAATGAAGACTATTAATTTATCAAACATGTAAGTTGGCATAAAATCATTTTTTTCATACATGCAACAGTCAAAAACCCAAAGATAGTCAGTGTACAGTCAAAGAATGCAGAGGTCAACCTATTACTCATATAGAAACTAGGGTCTTTCAGAATTTGTTACTCATAAATGTAGCTTTAATTTTAATGATTTTAACTAACTTATAATAACTATTTTACTCCTTCTATCACTTCTCTCCACCCACTCCACCCTGCCTGAACTTTCTTGGTCACCTCTTGGTCACTGCTCCTTGCCTAAACGCTTGACCCCAACTCATCTATCTTCACTACCTCTACTCCTTGCATCCTCATCTTTTGTACCAACTCATTTTGTATGACAAAAGCTGTAACGTCTGTAGTATGGAAATGTCAAAAGTGGAAGTCTCGCCTTTTGTATCTGTCTTTTTCTAATTCACCCACATAATAGATACACGAAGAAAGAACACAAAGAACCCACAAGAGCAAAATCATTTCGTGTCGTCTATAAAGGAGATTTACTTTTGTGTGACTGCAGCTTTGACAATCTGTATAGCTAAATTCAAACCAGATAACATCCTTTTTAATGCTCTTTCTTGCTAAGAAAGCTTTTTTTTTTATGTCTTAACTATCCTAAATTAATAAGAAAAGTATTTTTTAATATATAGGCTGTCTATTTTATTTTTTTCTTTTAATTACTGACTACTGTTTATAGTCTCTCTTTCTGTCTCGCTGTATATGTCTGGCAATAGAAATGGCAAATACGGGCGGGCGTGTAGGTCAACTCTAACGTTACCAATTATCGGTATAATGCTGGTTTAATGTATGGGGAAAAAAACATATAACTAACAATAACATTTACTTAGTCAGTTACAGTTAAACCAGCTCATAGTTAGCAAATACATAAAAGACATTTGTAAAGAAACGTAATCGATGTGTAACCCAGACAGACCTGTCATCACTCCGCTCAGCTCCTAACTAGTTACTTACGATGCATCCCTTTGAGTTTTAGACACCACTTATGCGTCGACTATCCACAACATGCATATGTGGATGCTTCATTTCGCTCATAAGTTTTAAAAATATATATGTCTATATTTTTTAGCGTACTGTTGCGTCAAAAGGACATTGAAGTCGCATTGAGGGTGCTAGCCTAGCGCCGTTAGCGTGAGTCCTGTTAGCTGACCGTCGCCCTGGTAACGGAGCACGCCTTCGCCCTCCACTTTGACCTGAAGGAGGAAACTGGAAACTCTAGCTGCTTCCCTCACATCAGTCCGAACATGGTTTGAATTAAAAGAAACAACAAAATATGGCCTGCCACGTATGAAAAGTGCCACTCGAGCTGAATTATTCGCAGCAGGCCCAGATATATAGCTGCAAATCGATTTCTTACCTTTTTTCAAGAGATGAATAGCAGCTGCTAGTTCGGATGCTTTTTCGTTAAGATGCGGGTTGTTGTTCTGCATGTCCGCAATATTCCCCCTCTTAATCCAGTCGGTGTTAGGTGGTGATTTGTACTCATTTCGAAGGCTTGCCCTGTTTTTCACGTCAATGAGCCAGTTTGAGTAGTGCATCATTGGTGCACATTTATTGGTAAAATCCAGACCATTAGCTTAAAAGCATACAGAAACAGGTCCCGTTGGAGCAAAGCAGCCGCTTCACCTACATTCATATAACAAGAATAACGTTACCAGTTAAGAGTCCTATTCACTCACGACCACTGTGCGCAAAAGGCGTGGACCTGATCATTTTTGTGCCTTACCAGTTTCCGTAAAACTGCCATATGTGCGCATGTTCAGGAATTACCTGCATGTTTCCTTTGCCGATTTAGCTGTAGAAATGTGAATATTTTCCCTATTACTTTAAACAGTTCTTTTTTTGTTGTTGCCGTACCCTGAATTAAAATCACGATGAAAACACGATTTACTACTGTGGATATCAGGGCCGTTATTGCCGAGATCAATGCCAAGTAGGTGCTTGTTGTTAAGCTAAGCTAAAATTAACTCTCGTCTGACTGGCTGTCCACTGCATATTCACACACTTTTGGTTATTCATGAAGTTTTACCTATTTCTTCCGCAGCTACATTGGCATGAGAGTCTATAATGTGTATGACATCGACAACAAGACGTATCTCATCCGTTTGCAAAAGTAAGAAAACTGTCCTCTGAAAGTTTTTCTCTTTTATAATGAATAAAGCTAGTAAATACAACAGAAATATCACAAAACTAGTTATGCAGCAGAATGACACTGTTAGGTTTTGCATTTAATTTATGCTAATGACAGTTGATGCATTCATACACAAGTAGCCACATTTCAGTGAATCATAAGATATATTTGTAAACTTCAGTATTCTAATCTACGTTTGTTTCAACAGATGTGTCTGAGTCTTTTTAGTATCTTCTGCTGTCAGATAAATGTTTCGAAGTCAAAAGACTTATCTCATGTTTTCCCTCTGAAATCATGCCGAGATCTACAGTACTGTGCATAAGTACTGAGCCAGCCCTCATTTCTTTCAGTTGCTGTTCATCTGCTGTAGATAGCTTTTTTTTTTTTAGATTTGTCAATTCTTCTTTTAATAATAGTTCCTTAGTAATCACCTTGTTAGTGGAAAAACACAATTTTATGCCCGTCAAACTGTGATGTCTGTATTTTGCATAGCTTCAGCTACAGAAATGGGAACAAATGTGTGCTTTTGTGGCAGGTTGCTAGTAACAGAGTTAAAAATACAATTTAAAATTGATTTTAGACACATCACTCATTTATCCTTTGAGTTATGTGTTGGCCTGTTAGGTCAGTGTCAAGTGCCTAAAAAAAGAACAACAAAAACCAACATTCTTGTGAAAATGGTCAGGTACAGGGACTGAACTGAAAATAAATAACAAGGCAACCATTCTCCAAGGAAAACTTTGAAAGAGCTCCAGAAAGCCTTAGGTCAGTCAGTAAAGCCTGATATACTTGGAAAAGTATATAGAAATTAGGGATGGCTCAATACTTTTGCACACTACTGATATTTTCCTTCCTACCAGAGCAGGAAATGGAAGTACTCAAGTAAAGTACTTTAAAGTTAAACAGTAAATTTACTGGATTGTTTCCAGCACTTTGAATCAGTGAGAATAACAGAGTGTTGCATCCGCAGGCCTGACAGCAAAGCTGTTCTCCTGATCGAGTCTGGGACTCGTATTCATTCCACAGACTTTGAATGGCCCAAGAACATGATGCCTTCAGGGTTTGCGATGAAAGTAAGACTATTTAAAAAACATAAAATAATATAATTGTGTTGATATTTTAGGATAATTATTGTGATGTAATGAGTTTATTGTCCCATTGGCTTCACTGTGGATAAATAATTTAATTAGTGTCCTTACTTTCACAAATTCAGTGACTGTATTGATTTGCCTGTCCCTAATAGATGGATCTGTACAGTAAATGTAAATGTCATTACAATGACTTGTGGTTGTTGTGATTTATTTACATACTACATTTGTGTTTGTTTGTTTTTGGATCACTTGTTGTGATGAAACTGATGTTAAAGAGGTTTTTTTCAGTGTCGAAAACACCTGAAGACACGCCGACTGACCCAGATTAAGCAGCTTGGGATTGACCGGATTGTCGACATCCAGTTTGGCTCAGATGAAGCTGCCTACCACTTGATTATCGAACTATATGACAGGGTCAGAAAACATTTCAGATGCTTTTTACATTTCATGTTCATATTCAAAACCTGTTACTTACGTGCAACTGCATATCTGTTTATGCCTGTTTGTCGGGGTGTTCATCTCCATTTTCAGGGTAACATCATCCTTGCAGATCATGAGTACACCATCCTGAATCTGCTGCGGTTTCGGACAGCAGAGGCAGAAGACGTTAAGATTGCTGTGAGAGAGCGCTACCCTGTGGAAAGCGCCAGACCCCCCGAACCTCTCATCAGTTTGGAGCGGCAAGGACCTCTTTACTAGTTTCTGGATAAACTGAACATGGTTCAAAATTCAGTTAAAAAAAAACAAAACAAAACTCAGAACCTTATATCAGTGATTTATTGTTGTTTTTTTATTTAGGCTGACTGAAATCCTTAGCAAAGCACCAAATGGGGAGCAAGTGAAAAGGGTCCTGAATCCTCACCTTCGTAAGTATCCAGGCAAAAGATACACGAGTTTATTCTTTTGTTTCAACATGTAGAAAGACTATGAATCTTTTTTTCCTTTCCTAACGCATCCACAGCATACGGAGCCACTCTGATAGAGCACAGTTTGATAGAAGCAGGACTGTCGGGCTCTATCAAAATTGACAGTCAAGTTGATTCTGCCCAAGGTATAGTTATATTTTATATAAAGCTATATAAGTTATATTTTTCTATAAATCTCCAACTAAATTTGGTCTGCCTGCTTTTCTCTTCAGTTGCTCCTAAAATCCTGGAGGCTCTGCAGATTGCAGAAACTTACATGGAAAAAACTGAGAACTTCAGTGGCAAAGTAAGCAGTTTTTAGATTAAGATTGTGTAGTAGTCTGATTGAATTCACTAACTCCTCTTTATTATAACAAGGGTTACATCATTCAAAAGACTGAGAAGAAACCAAGTTTAACTCCTGGCAAACCCAGTGAAGAGCTTCTTACGTATGACTCTGTTTTTACATCAAGGAGTACCTTTTTTCATCTGGTTGTGAAGTGAAGGATTGTTTAGCTCATGTGTATGATGTCTACTTGCAGATACGATGAATTCCATCCATTCCTTTTTGCCCAGCATGCAAAAAGCCCCTATTTGGAGTTTGATACCTTTGACAAGGTACATGTTAGCGCAGCTACATACCTGGGGGATAATAATTAAGTTATTTTTTCAAGAAAAATAAAGACTAATCCACCACAATAATCTGACACAGGCGGTAGATGAGTTTTTTTCCAAGATGGAGAGTCAAAAAATTGACTTGAAGGCCTTGCAGCAGGAGAAACAGGCTCTGAAAAAGCTGGAAAATGTTAAGAAGGACCATGAGCAGAGGTTGGAGGCCCTGCACCAAGCACAGGTTAGCAGCAAAGGCTTTACATAATAATTCTTGCTTGTACGCACAAGGAGATGTTGAGGACAATAACCACTCAGCTGATCGTGACTTTGCTGAAATCTCGTTTTGTGTGCTGCAGGAGGTGGACAGAATAAAGGGTGAACTAGTGGAGATGAACCTGCCTGTGGTGGAGAGGGCGCTGCAGGTGGTGCGCAGCGCACTGGCCAATCAGGTGGACTGGACTGAGATCGGTGTTCTTGTTAAAGAAGCACAAGCTGCTGGAGACCCCGTGGCCTGTGCCATCAAAGAGCTCAAGCTGCAGACCAACCACATCACCATGCTTTTAAAGTGAGATCACCCCAAAAAGCAATGAACTTAAATGTCGTAATTTTTATGTGAAGTCAGATTGATATACGCGGCATTGTGTTGTGTCACATCCAGGAATCCGTATATTTCTGAGGATGATCAGGAAGAGGAAGAAAAGAAAGAAATTGTGGAAACGAAAGGGAAGAAAAACAAAAATAAAGACAAAGGACAGAACAAGAAGCTGCAGAGGAACAAACCCATGTTGGTGGATGTCGATCTTGGGCTGTCTGCTTATGCCAATGCCAAAAAGTAGGTTGATGTGTGATGTGCACACAATAATGTATTATGTGGGGAAAGTTGATAGACTTTATTATTGTGTTTTTTTTAGGTACTACGACTCCAAACGCAGCGCTGAAAAAAAGGAACAGAAAACCATTGAAGCAGCAGATAAAGTAAGAAAACTGTCTTTTCATTTTTCCATATGCCATGATGTGATTGTACGATCAGCAGGAAGCAAGATCCGGATCTGTTCTTCTAAGGAACGTTGTTTTCTTATGCATTAAAAAACTCTCCTGTGGAACCAACTCCCAGTTTTTTTTATGCGGGGGAGCCGAGACACTTTCTCTGTTTTTAAGATTAGACTTAAAACTTTCCTGTTTTAGTAAAGCTTATAGTTAGGGCTGGATCAGGTTACCCTGAACCATCAACTAAGCTTTGTCCACACTGGAAGCGACCACTGACTGTACAAAGTGCATGATACCACTGGTGATGGGAGGTAGGCGTGAGATACATTTTTCTCTCTTCTGAGACGGGGCGACTGAAGCGACCACCACTGAATAAAATGCTACCATTGTCTGACATATGACCTGGAACTAATTGCAGTGGAGAAATGAATGTACTCAAGCCGACTAGCCGTCACCTTCAGCTCTTCTTCACTCATCTCTTTTTGCTTCCCACGTGTTTGTACACCACTGCTGTATTTAATCACAAGTTATCACTAAACTCTGGGGCTCTCTCTCACAATTTCTCTCTTGTCCTTTTTCTGTTTGCTCTTTTTATTTTTCCCCCGTACCCCCAACCAGTCACGACAGATGGCTGCTCCTCCCTGTACCTGGTTATGTTGGCGGTTTCTTCCTGTTAAAAGGGAGTTTTTCCTTCCCACTGTGAACAGCGCTTGCTCACAAGGGGTCAACTGATTGTATGAGTTTCTTTCTACTACTGCCGGGTCTTTACGCTACAATAAAATGCCTTGAGGCTACATCTGTTAATGTGAAATAACAGAATAACATACTTTATACTCTTATACTTAAATTTCGATTTTACTGATAATTTTTCTAACTTAATGTCACTAAAGGCCATGAAATCAGCTGAGAAAAAAACACAGCAGACCCTGAAAGAAGTCCAGACAGTGACCACCATTCAGAAGGCCAGGAAAGTCTACTGGTAAGACATGGATGCGTATGTGTGGAAACTTTATAATGTGCTTGATCTGTTGAGTCTGCTTTAACTGTCTGTTCCCGTTTGGCAGGTTTGAAAAGTTCTTGTGGTTCTTCAGCTCCGAGAACTATCTCGTCATCGCAGGAAGGGACCAGCAGCAGAACGAGATGATCGTTAAGCGGTACCTCCGGGCTGGTAAGGAAGCTTCTACACACTTCTCTTGGAAAATAAATACCGTCAAAATCTGGTTTATCACTTGTTCTATACTTTCTCAGGTGACATCTATGTTCATGCTGACCTCCATGGAGCAACTAGTTGTGTCATCAAAAACCCCTCAGGTAAACTTAAAATGCAGCTTTCAATGCATTTTCCCCACTAAACTAGTTTAGGTTTCTCTGAGTTAAACTAGTTTCTCCTTACACCCTCCACTTGCTCATGTCTTGCTCCAGGGAATCCCATCCCTCCCCGTACTCTGACAGAAGCTGGCACCATGGCTGTGTGCTACAGTGCTGCTTGGGATGCCAAGATTGTCACCAGTGCTTGGTGGGTTCATCATCATCAGGTGAGTCTAGAAAACTCTTCATTTTTTTTATGTATGTATTATCATTGAGGAGAGTGATATGATTCATCCCAATGAATCATGACGTTATCATTTTGGAATATACAGGCGCTATCAGAGAAGGAAAAACCTGGTGATTCAGTGCATTTAGATAGTCAGCTGGCCTCATTGGTGAATCTAGACCTGACCAACTGAAACAGCCTCAGATCATAACATTTTCCCACAAGCTTCTGTGGTACTGGGCACGATGAGTGGATCACCTCATCCGCCTTGCTTCTTACCCTGACGCACCCGTCACTTCAGGACAGGCCTTATCAGACCACATGACCTTTTCCTCATTGCTCCAGAGTCCAATCTTTATGTTCCCTAGCACTCTGAAGCCTCCTTTCCCTATTAGCCACACTGATAAGTGGTTTTCCTAATTTAATTCTTTACTCTCGAGTTGTTTTTGCATTGTCCGCATGGAAATGTTCTTACTTTCACTATTAATCAAATCTGTGAGCTCTTCTGTTGTATTTTTCTGATTTGATATGCGATCACTGATTACAATCCCTCTTCCTAAGAGATGGTTAACCACTATCTCTCCAGGTTGTTGTAGTTTCTGTAGTTTCCTTACTTGTTTCCTTTGCTTGAAGCAGGCCAATAATTACGTCTTTTGATATATTTTGATATGTCTTTGGACATGGCTGTTTAAGAAATGAGAAGCTACTCACAGATATGTTAGTTTTAAAGCAGCCATCCTGTGGCTGCAGTAATTAAATCAGGGATACACGTACAAAATTGCTCCATACTAAAGTCTAAACACTCTCTGGGACCTTTGAACTTACAGGCATGTGGTGTTTTTTATAGTATAATTGTTTATTATTATTGATAAGTGGTATTATGTGTTTTTTCTCCCTTAGGTGTCTAAAACCGCTCCCACTGGCGAGTACTTGACAACTGGAAGCTTCATGATCAGAGGTATCAAAAAGCAGAATTCGAATGCACAAAAGACAGACTACATAGAGATCAGATGGGACTCATTTTTGTAATTTTTTTTGCCTTAGGAAAGAAAAATTTTCTGCCACCTTCTTACTTAATTATGGGCTTTGGGTTCCTCTTCAAGGTGAGTACCATCACTAGCTGTGAGTGTATTTTCAAGCCTTTATCATTTTTAAAGAATTCACTAATGTTTCTTCTGCTTTTTACAGGTGGATGATCAGAGTGTGTTTCGGCACCAAGGGGAGAGGAAGGTGAGAACCGTAGAGGAAGACATGGAGGAGGCCACATCCAGAACTGCCGAGCTATTAGATGAGGGAGAGGAGCTCATAGGTAGGAAGAAGCCATCAATGATGTAATTCTGTCTATATCTATCTATATGCATTTGTTGAGCCATTTCTGCTGCCTTTCTAGGGGATGACAGCAGTAATGAAGATCAGGGTGAAGAAAGAGCAGACGATGGAGAGACCAAGGAGGTGGAGGTGAAAAAGGACGACGACACAGAGGAGGAGGATGATGGCGCGAGTGGAGAAGTAGACTCTGCAGCAGATGCAGGAGAGAAGGTGTCAGAGCGGAGTGACAGTGGTATGGAAAAAGAGAATGAAGAGAGTGAAGAATTCAGCTTTCCAGATACGACCATCACCCTCTCTCATTTACAACCCAGCAGGTAGTACCACTAACCAAGCAAAAGAAAAGCCAAACAGATGTATATTTGCAGAATTAAAAGTACTTTAATAACATTTCTCCTTATTTCTAGGAGCTCCCAGAATGCCGGCTTTAAAAAAGAAACAACTGCTCAGGCAAATATTACCATCTTTGGACATTTAAGTTTTTTCCATCTCATTTAAAGTACAATAAATAGCAATTTTTTATTCATTAACTTTCAGGATGACGTCGATTCACAGGGGAAAAAACACATGACTGCCAAGCAGAGAAGGTGAGCGTATAACCCAAATGAAAATCCAGTTTTATATTACAAGCGGATGATGACAGCATGAGCAGAGAAAGGTGACCAGTCGCTGTGTTTTTGCCTCCTCCCTTAGAGAAGAGAAGAAGAAGAAGCAGCAGCAGAAACAGGAGGGCTGTGAGACTGAGGAGAAGCCTGACAAGTCATCTGGTGGACCGGTGGGGGATCAGGGGTCCAAAAGTGGCAGTGGACCCTCTCAGCAGCCGTTAAAGAGAGGTCAAAAGGTGAGACGGACGGATGAAGTCAGCATTTTTTGTGCTGTGCAAGCATCAGAGGTTTTAAAACCTTTTAGTATTTTTTTTTTAATTGAGAACTGAAGTTTTACTAAATGAGAAGATTATAAGATTACATTTAGTTTAAAAAATGGGCTAAAGGTACCAGCCACACTCTTTTGTCATTACAGAACAAACTGAAGAAGATCAAAGAAAAGTATAAAGATCAGGATGAAGAGGACAGAGAGCTGATGATGCAGCTGCTTGGGGTGAGAATGAATAGAAAAACCCTTACATGCAGCTGGCACTAGTACTTGCAGTGCACGTGGTTCTCGATGGTGTCGCAGTAAATAACATTTCAGCTGCTTTGCTTCCTTAGTCAGCTGGTTCCACGAAGGAGGAGAAAGATAAAGGGAAGAAAGGAAAGAAAGGGAAGGGGAAAGAGGAGCCCGTCAGGAAACCGGCCACTCAGAAACAACATCAGAAAGCTCGTAATGTGGAGACTGCTGGGAAGAAAGCAGAGCAGGGTGGAGGGGAGGAGGAGGAAGAGGAGAAGAGGCAGCCCGGAGAGGAGGGAGGTGCTGCAGAACAGGAGGATAAGGTAATGAAAGGATTCAGTAAGTGTATGTATAATATCTCATTATGTTTACAAAGTTATCTGCATAAAAAAATAATCAAAGTCTGCCTCCTTAGAGAAACATATAAATACATTAAGAGTAGCTCAAGACTTTTACACAATACTGAATTTAGAATAAACCTATCTGTGGCTGTTTGGTGACTCATGGCCACAGACTGGTAGCTGGAAAGGTTCAACGATGCTTTCTTCTCTTTCAGGAAGATGAGGCGGACCAGGACAATCCTGGAGCAGAGGTAAATTTGCAGTATAAATATTTAAATATGGATTATTAATCCTAAAAAAGAAATCTGTATGCCCTTTAAAAATACTACTAAAAAGAATAGCTTTATTTTAAAGGATTTTTTTTGTCTGTTACTTTAGGAAGCAGAGAATCTGCTCACCTCTCTAACAGGCCAGCCGCATCCGGAGGATGTGTTGCTGTTTGCAGTGCCAGTCTGCGCTCCGTACACTGCTCTTTCCAACTACAAGTGAGTGTTATCAGCTTTTCCTTGTATTAGTCAAATTGAAGAGACCAAAGCCTAACTGCTTGTTTGTCTTCTGCAGACACAAAGTGAAACTGACACCAGGTTCTCAGAAAAAAGGCAAAGGTAATTCAGAAAGCTTTTGACTGACATTACTGTAAAGATAGTTTCTTTGAAGCTGATGGTAAATTCTTGTTTGTGCTCCTACCAGCTGCACGCACTGCAGTGTTCAGCTTCATGAAAGCCAAAGAGGTGTCACCAAGAGAAAAAGACCTGTTCCGCAGCGTCAAGGTACAAACCCCCCCCCCGACTATTCTTGCCTTTAAAAAGAGTGCTTTCTGTTAATTTGTATTGCTAAATTTATATAGTTAGTAAATAACTACAATCCAGTCATTTATCAAGGAATGCTACACAAAATAAGCATTTTAATAAAGTCACCTCACTTGTAGCCATTTCATGAGATTAAAATGAATGAACTTCAGCACACTGTCATCTCACCTGCTGCTGAATCTTTATTGGATTACATTTAGGGTCAAACAGATGTTTCAGGGTTTTTTTTTTTTACTTCACATTTTCCACCGAACAAACTGTAAAAATAGAATAATCTTATCTATAACTGAAACTGTTATGGCATGGTTGCAGTTTTCCCTTGTGTTACAATTCAAACTGTCCCTTTTCTCACGACGCTGTGCTGCAGGATTCTGACCTATCCAGAAACATGCCGGGAAAAGTCAAGGTGTCTGCTCCAAACCTGCTGGCTGCCAAGAAAAAATGAAGGATAGAAGACACGAGCCGGAGAGACTTTTGAAATTCACAGCATTTCTTCAGCACGGAACTGCACTTCAGTCTGGGTCACTGAGACTCTGCCGACTTCACCTATATTTCAGACATGGGTGGTTATTTGTCAGTGGTGTGCCCTTTTTTCAGAATTCTTGAGATTGTATTTGGTGAACCACAACATGTAACAAAGCTGAATATGTCATGTGTTTATTTTCTGAGTACAAATTATGCATTGTAGTAATAATATGTCTTTTTAATCCCACACTTAAAAAGAAAAAAACTAAATCAATCAAGGGAATTTTGTGCAAACCAGGCAATTCCAAACAAAGCTGCAGCCCCAATAAACTTGCAGTGAGTTATTGATTAAATTAAGTTTGTATGCTACAGTAGCCACTTTCAACAATTTTCTCCAATTTCAGGCTTTAAGAGCCTCTTTGAAAGTACAGAATCACACACACACACACATCCTCACAATTATATAAATAATCATATATACACATAAAAACTTAAAGTTAGCATTTCTGTGCCTTAAAGTAGATAGTCATGTGTAGCATAAAGCACGAGTTTTAGGTCTGTGAGAACTTAGGAAAATCATTCAACATCAGTAAACACTGTATTCAAGATATTCTCAAAAATTATAGTAATAATTACAGCAAACTTATTTTTAATTTGTTGTTTGATACGGAATCACTGTCTTAATGAATTTAAGTTTTGTTTTTAGTTCACATTTGTCGTCATAAGACGCATCTAATCTGGACAGAAAACGACGGCGTCATTTAAGCTTTTCATCACCACTGTCGAAACGACTCATCAAAATTAAGATGGGCAAAGAATGTTTAGAGAAAAAAAAAAAGAAGCTAATCCCAAAAGTAGTGAGAGGTTTCTCCTCCTATGTGCTATCGCATCACCCCCACTCAACAATGATGGTTGTCCCGGCAACATCTATAAGGTGATTAACAGTTTTGAGGATGGCCTGTGAACCATCATGCGTCAGGCGGGACGCATTTCTAACAAATCCGAAGCCGTTCAGCATTCCCTGGAGAGGTTTTTATGTATGAAAGTATCCACTGACATGAAAAGGACTACCTGCTTTCAGAAAGCATGTATCCCTTCCACGCATACATATTGTCCTCTAATTGTCCTCTTAAACTAAGAGCCCAGTGTGTTGACACGTGCCATTCTCTGTTTGAGGCTGTGCAGGAGGTGTTTAGGCAAACAGTCCCAGTAGCTAGACAAACGCTCCCTGTGCTGAAGGATGGTCTCCATGCAGAACCTGGAAATTGGAGAGTTAGATGAACACGACGTGATGGCAAAATAAATCGAAATGGATTTCAAATCTGTATGCACTCACCGAACTAATGATTTGGGCTGAACGTTGAAAACCAGCAGGTCATTGCTGTGTGCCTGTGAAGTGGAGGAAAAAATCTAATTCACCAAGTGAAAATTTGCATTAACTGCAGGTTAAATTGAGATATGATGACCATCTTACAGCTCTGTGGTGCGACAGCAGGTTGTTGGCACACCCTCCGAACGCAAACACTTCGCCATCTGGACCAGCGCACGCTGTGTGCCACAGCCTAAAAATCACAAAGTCAAACATTGTCCACATTTTAGCTCAGGAAAAACTGCCAGCGCACTGCCAGCTGTTCACAGTAACGTGAGATGGTCACCTGGGGCTCTCTGTGTGACTGTGTTTGAAAGGCTTCCATTCATTTTTGCTCACACTGTACAGCCAAGCATCACCTAAAAGACAGAAAAATAATCTCTTTGAGATCAGGTATTATTTTAAGACCTCTGATTATTTGCTCCTTGAGGTCGAGTGTCTGACTCACTCAACGTCTCCCTGTCTGTGGTGAAACCTCCAAATAGGAAGATGTGGTCTGGTGACACAGGAGTGAAGGAGTGCCAGGAACGGCCCACTGGACCCTGCTGGGGAACGCTCCTAGAGCAAGGCAGAGTGGGTCACAGGGGAATAACCGTGCAGTGCAAAGGTGGATAACTCGGTGCACACGATCAGATAGTCTTGCAATTAGAAATGTGATATTAAAAAAAAATAAAAAATTCAATTCAAAACCTTGCTATAATCCGTATAATATGTATGATCTGATTAATAAAAACTTTTACAGTGTGGATTACATACCACAGCACATTAAGAAGCACTTACATTTCATGCCACTCCCACGTGTCCAGGTCAAGATAGTACAGGTCATTTAATCTGTAGTTCTGTGAACAAAACAAAAGTACATTTGTTTATTTTGAAAACATCTTTATCTTTAAATGAGCGCACACACTTATGCACATAATTTAGGAGTGGAAAAAAAGAAGAAAAGTGATGCTTTGATTTGAAATCTTACTTTTTGCCCATGCTTACCTTGTATCGGCCACCAAACACATAGCCTCTGTTGCCAACTGTTGCGCAGGCATGAGCTGCTCTGGGTGAAGGGGTGTCCCCCTGCATCAGGCCAAACCAAGACAAATTGAAAATACGGTTTAAAGATCACTAAGATCTCTTTTTTTTTTTTAATTAGAAGAAAAAGGGAGAGGCTGTTTGATTACAGAGGATGTTTCCAAGTTTTACTGCAGGGCAATGTGATACACGCATTTGTGTTTTTACCGTGGTAATTGGCTGACTCCACGTTGACGTCTCCAGATCCAGGATATGGATGTGATTGTTCCAGCCTCGCCCAGGGCTGTCCCACTGTAGCGGTGAAAACAAAGAGGACAAGGCAGAGGGATACATTTAGATATTAAGCCATAATTATTCAAGAAGCTCCAGCTATTAAAAGTACATTTAATTAGCAAAAACAGCATCTAATGGATTTCAAGACATAATGTTATAATAGTTTTGTTTAAATGCATCATTTGTCGTAAGATTTGTTTTTACAGACCACAAGAGAAGACGATTCATCATATTCAAAAGTCCCACGATGAGTGCCCTGTGCAGCGTAGCCATAGCCCCCAAAGTAGATAATTCTGCAATCATTCAGACAAATTACTTACATACATATTTAAAATCTTACAGAAATTATCTCTCTTATGCATTTCTCATTGAGTTGTGATCAGAAATGACCACACATTCATCATGAGCATGAACTCTGGACTTTTAATGATTTCTTTGGACTGTTTTTCCAGCGTGGAAGGATTGTACATGTGTCTTTAATGACTTAAAAAAACAAACACATCTCTAATCCACACAGTGTCAAAAGTATCCATACAAGCTCAAACATATATATAAACTCACTTAAATCTTTTAATAAGTGGCTCTGAAGGCAAAGGCCTCATTAGTGATCGTGATTGACTACAACGGGTAGTTTCTATGTGCAGCATTGAAAAGGATTTGCCTGACAGCAGTCATTGGATTGACCAATACTCAGAACAATGTGAAACTTCAAGGACATCAAGAAGATATAAGAAGGAAAATTTTAGATTCACACACATTCAGATGTGTCACCACTTTGTCCAGTGTCTAGAGGAAGAACCAAACTGTCACCTTCAGATAAGAGGAAATTGGTTAGGATGTTTACGAACAACCCAGGAACCACCGAGGCTCAAGCCTGCCATGAACTGGAAACTGCTGGAGAGCTAGTGTCACCGTCCACAATGAAGCAAGTATTGATGGCTAGAAACAGCATCTAGTCAAGGGAGAGTTTATCAAATTTTAAGCGGGGGTGTATGTATGTATTTGATCCTGTTTGGATTAGAGGAAATCCAAAATAAATTCAAACTTGTGCACTCAGTCATTAACGATGTCTGCCGTACAATCATTCCATCCTGGAAAAAGAAATCATTAAAAGCCAAAAATTACCACAACATTCATTTCTACAATTAGAGTATGTAAACTATACAGTAATAAAACTTCTAAAACAACGACCATCATTGTGTCAAAATTAATGCCATTTTACTTTCAAGGAAACTCAAGATCAATCTATTGTTTTTACTCTTTTTATAGGAAAAAAAACATTTCACAGTTGATCTAAAAACATGTTTGTCAAAAGAAATGAAGGATTGGTGAAACTGAGCCTTATTTTCTCAAGCACAATGAGTAACTACATTAAAAAAAAACCTCCAAAACAAACATACAAACAAAAACCCTTATCCTGTTACCGGTTTTTCTGAACCCAGCAGCCCAGCTTGTCCTTGGATGATGGCGGAAGTCCTTTAAGATCCCTCATTTCCTCCCACACAAGGCTGGGAGTTCTCAAGGGCAGGCGGTAAATCTATACGAGCAAAGGCGTTTTGTAAAGACTGTCCGCTCGCACAGCTGGCTGATATGTTTTTAAGGTAATGTGATGCAAGCACCTATTTAGAAAACACCAGAAGCAGATAGGAAATTTAGTCTAACCCTAGTCACACCCTACCTTGTTTGTGTTTCCCCGGGCGTGATGCCCCCCGAAAAGGTAGAGAACTCCATCAACACACACCCCACAGCTGCCTGACATTGATGTGTGGAGGCTACCTCCAGCTATATGCTTTGTCCTGTAAATAGGAAAAAATAAATATATATATATGTTTATATTTATTTTTGTACACAATTACAAAGTAGAGGTATGATTGGCTTGCAAGCCAGATGTCCTCACCAGACTCCTGACTCCATGTTGTAGGTCCAGATCTCGTTTCTCGGCAGATACAAGTCGAAGAATCCATGGTTTTCAGCATTCTTGTTCAGGAGGATGAACACAGTGAAATTTAGACAATTATGGAGACGGCAGAAAGATACAGAAACATAATGGCAATGCAGTTTAGGAGCATACCTTGTATCCACCCCACACATACATGATGTTTCTGTCAACCACTGCTATATGACCACTGCGCTCAGCTGGGGCGTCCTGCTCAACTGCTTCAGCGTCTAATAACTGCTCATCGTCCACTTCCTCATCTTCCTCGTCCTCATCCATATCTTCATGTAATATCCAACCAACTAATCTGTTATCTTCATCTCTATCCGAGTCGTTGTCATCCTCTCCGTTGGGCAGATCTCCCCTGTCTTCTTCCATCTCTGCCCTTCCCTCTGCCATGCCAGCCTCTTTTGTTTCCTATCAAAGCAAGAAGTAAGGTACTGAGAAATCGACTAGGTTATTGCCAATAGGATTATTCTATTAACGCATTAATCCCGGGCCAAAAATAATCTTTAAAACAAGCAAAAACATAAACAATCAAGGAAATGACCCACATTTAAAACAGTGGAGGTGAGCAAAATTAGCCATAAAAATAGAACATGCTCTCTCTGTGTCAAGTAGAGATTTGCTTGTTTCTAGGCCAAAGTCACATCATCATTTACCATGGCAGCGGATTGTATCATGTTAGCAAGTAGCACGACAAACGCTGACCTACTTTTCTACCTTAACTATTTAGGCTACTAGCCCAACGCTGGCATTTAAGCGTATTTCTAATATTACATGGAACACTTATAACGAATAACAGCTTAACAAAATGCTGTTAATTTATATATTTGTCTAAAATCCTCTTAATTGCTTTGCTGTAATTCGTGCTAGCAAGCACCAAACAGTTATTTCCCTCTGCAGAAGAAAAACACACCGAAAACTGTGCGCTAAATACCGCTCAGATATATCTACCTCGTTTATGTCTAAACTAACCAGAATATCCTACACAAAATCTAGCCAGTCCTGTCATCGCTTTACCTTATCAGATACTAGGGTTCCTTGCAAATTTCAGTAGCAATGCGCCATTTATGTAAGGTCATCACAATCTTCTGGGGGGCACGACCGGAAATGACACTTTTTAAATCCACCATCTTTATAAGGTCGGAATTAACGGGCTAGGCCGTCCCACGTCGTATAAAGGTTTTATTATTTATATTATTATTGTTATAATTACTACTACGAAGAAGTCACTACTGCTACAGGACAACTCTCATATAAGAAACAGGTACGCACAATTAGGTCAAAATCAAATGGAGAGACGTTTTTCTTTTCAAAATAAAAGTCTCCACATTTAATTGTTCTCATTAATAGTAGGGTGGAAAAGTACCGCCAAAATTTAAGACTACCAAACGCAAAACAAAGCGCAACAACGCTTTTCGTTTCGTTAAAGTTTCATATGAAATGGACGTTATATAAAGATAAAATTATAAAAAATAATTGCCAAGCTGAATGGGAGAGGCTACAGCAGAACTCAAAGCTCTGACTGTGCTGAATCCAACAGCATATATGCCTGTATCAGGGACAGGATGCATCTATCACAAGAGCCACTCTTTGGTATTTACCTTGTACATTAGTTGAGTAAAATTGGTTGCACATATAAAAATGTTTCAGTCCTTTTGAAACAATTTTAGAAAAACATATTTCACAAAGCTACAATATAGTGACTCTAGAGGGTAAAACAGATAGGAGTTGATAATGTTATTAACTTAATGCTACTGACTACTCAGGATGGTTCAAGTTGCAATTCAATGCATAGACACAAAAAGGTCATAAAGTTCAGTACAAAGCATAAAAACTTTATTATTCCTCATAGAACAAAGACTCAAAGACCATAAAATTATTTGATTACCAGTCCATTTTCAACATCTAATATCATACAAAAGTAATGTACAGTCAAATTGTAAATCCGGGATTTTCTTCACAGCCCTTGAAGTTTGCTGTGAAGAAGAAATAAGAAAACTGTTTAGTTTGAGCACAATCACCATTAAAACCACCATTGTCACTGTTAAATACACCAAAAACAAAGAGAGAGGAAAAACTTTAAGACTACACCCCACCTGTCCTCAACTGTCCTGTTGGATGGATAGTACACCTTGAAACTGAATCCACTTTTTGGGAAGGAACCCTGACAAAGTAAACAGGTTAAAAAAGATATTGCTTACTTATATTAGAAGAAAGCATCCTCTACGATTTTCTGACAAAGAATCTGTCATTCATTCATACCGGGTTGACACAGAGGCAGTCTGTGTTAGTGATGCTGAAGGGGTCGTATTTGTCTGCGAAGACTATGACGTCAGGTACCGGGTAGACTCGCAGGGAAAAGTCATAGGCCCAGAATACAGGACTGACATACAGAGGCAGTGGAGTCAAGTGACCCTGGGATAGGATTGTCCTAACAAACTGAGAAGAGAAAGAAAAAGAAAAATACTACTATCACTACTAAAAGCTACTTTTTGCTTTAAGAATATTGATTAACAAAGGCTTATAAACCTCTGACAACATGATGAATGCTGAAGTGATGATTCTTCCTGTATGAACAGGTTTGTTAAGAAAAGTTGAAACTCACATGGTTTGGAATGTCAAGATTGTTATTGGGCAATCGGACACAATTTCTACACATCTTGTTGACCAGGTCCTCTCTGATAATGATAATCTCCTGGCTGCAGTACTGAATCCTGTCAGAGAAATATGCATCATTACATTATGTGTCTGCATGGTTTTAACTAAAACTAATCAAAATCATATCTAAAACCTGTACTCCAAGCTTAATTAAACACACTAGCAGATACTTGTGCATCAAATAAGAGCCACATGTTTGTTTCACCTGCATGGATTAGTTGTGAACACAGAAAATGGCACTCTCTGTCTGAACTCCTCTGTGATGTGGTCTGCCAGGGGAGGTCTGAAACATAGTTTACCCACATTTGTTCAAACCACTTGAATCAAAATCTCACAGAATAAAGTTTAAATCTAAGTGTCTATTAAGGTTTACCGTGGGAGGATGGTGCCTGGACCAGGGTCTTCAGGACCGGGAACAAACACAAAGCGACTACTGCGGGTTTAAGATGAACACACTGAAACATGAGTAAGTAGAAAACAAAACAATAGCAGAACAGAGTGAAAAATCTATTAGAGCTTACCTGCTATGAATGCTGGGGTATGAGCATATAGCATCAGCAAGGGCTTTCAGTGACTCTAAAAAACAATAAACAAAATTAATAATAATAAAAAACTGAGTAAAACCTCTGAAAACCTTTGTCCCTTTATTAAATTTTTCAGATTTTCTACAGATTTTAGCATTGACCGATTATATGTATAGCTATTCAAAATATCCATCTAATCAGTCAATCACATGATAGCAACTGAATGCGTTTATGCATGTGGAAGCAGTTAAGACTTAAACCATACAACAGAATAGGGAAGAAAGGTGATTTAAGCAGATGTGATTGTTGGTGCCAAAAAAGCTGGTCAGAAACTGCTGATCCACTGGGATTTTCCCACATAACCAACTCTGGACAAAACTGGCTTGTTTCCTGATGGGCAGTCAACAGTAACTCAAATAACCACTTGTTACAACCCTGTATCCTTAAGAGCATCTCTGAATGCACAACATGTCAAACCTTAAAGCAGACAGGCTACAGCAGCAGAAGATCTCTCTGATTGCTACTCCTGTCACCTAAAAACAGTGAACTGAGGCTACAATGGAACCAGCTCATTAAAATTGTATAACAGAAGATTTGAAAAATATTGCCTGGTCTGTTGAGTCTCGATTTCTGCTGTGGCATCAACTTTAAATGCCACAGCCTACCTGAATATCATTGCTGATCATGTCCACAGGGTATCCATATTCTGATGACTGCTTCCAACAAGATATGACTATGACTATGTACTCACATGACCTCCACAGTCACCAAGCCTCAATTCAATAGAGCACCTTTGGGATGTGGTTGAATGGGAGATCCACATTATGTATGTCCAGTCAAAAAAATCTACAGCAAGTGTGTGATATTATCATGTCAATATGGACCAGAATCTCTGAGGAGTGTTTCCAGCAGCTTGTTATTCTTCTTATCTTTTTAAACAAATAACACTGGCTTGTGGCTCTTCATTCACTCTCTGTTTCCTATAACAGTTAATGACTTGCACAGCAGCCATATTTGCTCCATAGATAACGTGCACTGAAGTATGAGATGGTCAGAGTATGCAGTATGTCAGGGGCACTAATGTTTTCATTCCACGGAGGAATTTTTTGAGGACGCACACCAGGATTCAGACACCAAAATAATAGCGGACAGCAGAGGACACGTCGTTTCACAGCTGTCTTGTTTAAATAAACATTCCTGGAATTGTCACAGGACATACGTGACAGGAAATCTCTGTGCTTATGTTCAGCGTGAGCTCCATATCACGGTCAGTCAATTGATCCGTACAGTGTTTACACAAAAAACTATGTCAATAAAATTTTAGAGCATCTGTCAAAACTCACAAGCAGAGATTTCAAGATGTTCAGTGTGTTATGAGACTTTACCTTTGAGTGATTTGAGCTGTGTCTTCCCATACGGGGCAGAAGAGAAGTTTCCACAGAAAATGAAGCAGGTGGGGGGCATGGCGGCATATCCTGCAATTTAGAAATGACATCAAAAATGTTACTGGTGTCACGCAGAAGTGTACTGTTGACTTGTAAAGTTCACTATCAGACCTGAGAACATGATGTTGAGCTTTTCCATCACTTCCACACTGTCCAGCCAGACATCGGAGACGATAACAAACATGGCGTCTTCATTCTCCTCTTCCAGCTGCTTCAACTTTGCGGACGTTTTCACTGAAGTGGCAGATGGACCTCCAAAAAAGTTAATGTTTCCGTAGTATGCTCTGGAAATAATATAACAATTACACCAAGGAATCAGAATCATTTTCTGGGGACCTCATATAATAGAGCCATAGTTATCAAGGAATTCAAGTAAAACATGAAATAATACTGTGGACCCAAGCAGGACAGCCCAAATCCACAATTGCTCATCGTGTTCTCATAAGATGCTGTTTCTTAACAATCCTCTAATGGTAACTGAATTAAAATTATACACTTTAAAAGTTTCCTAAAAAAAACATTTTTAAGTCCTGCATTCTGACTACAATAAGGCTGGGGAACTAAGCACTCCTGTAACATACTGTGACTGTATTCAGTCTTTATAGTCTGCTGTTGAGAAGTGTGATCTTGGCATGTCTGTGTAGCTTATAATGACGATGATCTCTAACTTAAAGAGTATTTGCCTTCATATTAATTCAGTGACATTTTCACTAATTAACAAGGAAGACAAGTTAAACTGACTTCACTTCACTGGAAGCTCCTTAACTTTTAGTCTGAACATGATCTCACACACACAGAAACTCATACTTTATACTAGAATGTAATGTCAAAATGTATATTTTGCAGTACAACTACTCTTCCTCTGACCTTGTGGCTGATGAAGGCTCTGTTGGTGGGAACCCAAAACCATTGACATGGAACACAGAGTCCTCGTACCAACCTAGAAGACAAACCGTGAGTTGCAAATTCACAAATAGGCTTGGATGTGTGTATAAAATCCACATTTTGCCATTTTTACTAGAGTAATTATCTTACCTTCTGCCAGTACAAAGCAGGATTCTGTGTAGAGGCCATTATGAAACTGGTGAGAGCGGAGCTAAGGAATTTATCTTTTATATTCCACGTGATTTTGCATAATATGAAAGACTTTTATTAACATCAAAGGATATTGCTTTGGACAAGTCCAGCTGTATTGTTCCACTTGGGTCCTCCAGGTAAAATTTACCCTGGAAAGAATGGTTTCAAATGTTAAACGAACCAGATTAAACAACAACAACAAAATCCTCAAACTGAACAGAAAGTCACAATTTTCATCGCATTCAGTGAAATGGAAAACAAAACAAAACATAATCTCTTATATTTATCTGGATCACTAACCTCTTTCAGTTGTGTGATCATACCAAGTACAATCACCTCTCCCAGTTTAGCTGTGCTACCAAGCAATGCTTCAACCGTCTTGAGCTAGGAAACACAAATAATGCTAAAAATGGTTAGTTAAAATTTTTATTTATTTATTTTTTAAATAGCTGACATGAGGTAATACACGTTTAACACAGTGTCCATTACAGTAGCTTAGATGTGATACCTGAAATTTGTTTTGACCCTCTTCAACAGCAGCTCCTATCGCTGGCGGGGTGAAGAGTTCATGACGATGTGTTCGCTGCAGAAATGAATAGGACATGCACACTATACGTATTAAAAATGGCAGCAAAGACAGCAGGTCAGCCTGGAATCATGAGACAGATTTTACTGACTTGCTGAAGGATTGTATAGCGCTCCCTGAAGAGTTCAGCTTTTTCTCTGGCCAGGCCACACAGACTGGGGGCTGGATGACTGGTCATACTGATGCTGGATGGAAGTCAAAAGTCAAAATAAAAGCTTTACAATCTTTGCCAAACACACTGCGGTCTGCAAAACAGCAGAAACGTTTTTATTTAAACAATAATTTACATTAACTTTAAAAGAAAAGAGAAAAAAACAACCATACAGTTGTTTTACTCACGGTACAAATTTCTTCCTCTCCACACTGTAAATGTATCTGGGCACATCAAAGGCTCCAATTATGTTGAAAACATTATCTCTGGAAGGGACAGCTCATATAAGTAAACAAGTTAATCCCAACCTTACTCTACAAAAAACCTGCAACTGAATGACTTCTGTCCCAGCATTTAGTTTTTACCGGCATTCATTATATTAAAATGCTTTATGATCAATTAATTAAGCATACTGTGTCAGCTTCCACATGAGTAATAAGTCCAGTGGATATTTCATTTCAGTCGATGTACAAAGGACACCCCGAGTCCTTCAAAAAATATTAGAACAATGCTATTTTTTTTAAAACTTACATTGTTTCGTCACAAGTTTGAGTGCAATCCTGCACGGCACTTTCCACCACGGACAGCTCGATCATGCTGGAGGACACTGCGCGAAAAAACAGTACAGTCACAGTCTGAAAAAACTCACATGGGAGCACAAACATAGGAGCACACAACAAGCTGTACTGCACTCACATGGCTGTTTTTCCACTGCATCCAAGACCCTTTCAATAACATCATCAAGTTCAGAATGACTGACGGACTCCAGCACCTCTACAAGGTACCTGCTGGCCTCACTGGAGCGCAGAACAAGAAGCCAATCAACAAATAAATAACAAATAACAACAATAAGATAACAACTACATGACTAAACACGGTCCAACTACATCTAATTATATGTGCACATCCAATAAAAATGAAATCTAACAAAAGTGTAAAAATCTTTCTTTGTTCGTTTTTAAAAACATTTTTTCTGTATTTAATAAGGCAAAATACAGAAGGCTTGCACAGCGAGCTGCCTGTTCGTAACTTCAAGATGAAACAAAAGACGTCGTTGTGTTTTCGAAAGTTTTCAAAGCAGAAAAAAAAACATTTTTATCTACACAAGAATACATACGGGCGCAGTATAAGTCCTCTCATCTTGAAGCCAGAAGACACTTTCGTCTTTATTCTGCGTGCAACATCCATGATTATTTCTGCTCCGACTCAAGCTTTGGCGCTAAATGTCAACTTCCACAAACTTCCGCAAGTGTCGTCACTTCCGTCTTAGGGGCCGCCTCTATTTCATTAAAAAAAAGCGAGCTTGAAAACAAATCTGCCGAATCATTTTCACAAAATTATGTTTTTTTTGACTGTGAGTTTCTCTTTTAAGTGTATTCTAATTTCCATTCTTGTGTTTTTTAATACAGGCTAAAGATGCATAAAACATCACCTAGCTTTTTAAGGATAAATTATTTAAGAAGAACAAAAATAATAGCAATAGTAACAGAAGTTATCAAAACGAAGCGCAAAAGGTGTTACATTGTTTATATTGTATATTTCTTAGCATGTTAATAGTGATTTGACAAAACAGAATACATTTACTCTATCACGTGTCACCTTATATTTTACTGCCATTTATAGACTGTGATAATTATATAAAACATAGTAGTTTCATTATTTCTCAGTAAGCTACCATAGTGAACCATACGTTAGTAATTGTTTATTGCCACAAATTAACTGTATCGATGACACAAACGATTCTGCTCCAAAACTGTAGATTTGTCTCATGGTATTTTTTGATTTCGAAATTGATTTTGGAAAATATTTGTTTGTTTGGCCTTAATTCAAGTTTATAAAAAAAATCATTTTGAATATATTACTGAATATATAGTGTAATTAGTCATAAGTACTGGTTATTAGTGCTTATGAATGGATGGACAGAGAAACTGTCCATGTTGTACAAGGTGAACAACTGTGCCTTTCTGGGTCTACTTTTTTGGGATGTTCCTGACTGACAGATGTGTGTTTAAATCAAAGCTGGCATACTTTGCACTCTCCTGTTAATAGTGGGAGATTTTTGGCTTTGAGTCCTGAAAACCTCCACACATGTTTTCGCTTGCTTTTTTCAGGGTCCCTGTAATTATGCACTAATTTCCCTTTAACAATTATAACTTCTATATATAATATATCTATATTTTTTGGGATTATTTCTCAAGTGATTTTCACCAATTCCAGTCTCCCATTTGGAGATCCAGTGTTAGATTATGTAAAAGGGAGATAAATATTTAAATATAATTATACAACAGCAAACTTTACCCTATGGAAGCTTTCTAAAACAAACAAAACTAAACAAAAATCTATACAAAAATAAATAAATAAATAAATAAATAAATAAATAACAAGACAAAATGCTGTCCGAGAGTAAAATTCTTTGCTTAATATCTCGAAATTTTGACTCAATAACTTCAAAATTCCGAGTTAGGTAATGTGGTACATCAAACATTTGAGATAGTCTTAATTATTGTGTTATAACGTTGAAATTGTGAGATAAAAAAACAAAACAAATAGAAATTTTATGCTGGAAGAGGTTCACCGGAAGTAGTATTTTATTTTGTAGCTTTGTTTACAGTATTTAGCACCGAGGCATTCTTGTCCAAAATATGTAGGTTTAAAAACATGAAGAAATAATATCCGACAGCTAACAGTGTGCTGCGTCCCGTGAGTATGCACTAAGTTTTCAGTGTTTTTGTACTGTGGTTATGTATTAACCTGTTCCGAGCTTTTGTCGGTTGAATTAGTAGACTACCTTTTTTTTTCTTTTCGCATACCCAAATAATATTTAGCATAAACCGAAGACAGTAGGATGGTTCGAGTTTCTGCTCACAGTTAGCTGTTGCCTTTGTTCTCGTAAATACATATAGTTGAGCATAGGTGAGATATTTAGACGAATTTTTTTCTTTTTTGTGTGATTTTTAGGTTCAAGTGCATGCCTTTACGTCTCTGTGTTTAAATAGCAGTCAGTTATGGATTCCGCCTTTGAGAGGCACTGCTCGGAGCTGGTCGCCCGGGAACGAAGCGGACATACTGCTGTGTTGCATGACAATCTCCTGTATGTGTGGGGAGGCTATATGGTGAGGAAAACACTGAAACATAAAAGACACAAATGACAAGGAAGAGAAGGGAAATTTCTCCAGTACTGTATTAAACATATGATATTTAAATGGTGGCATTAACTGTATATGCCAATTTATACCTAATAAAATTAAAAATAAAAATACATTCATAAATAAAAGAGGACTGCTGTGCATTATTATATGTAACAGGTTCTTGCTTTTTTTTTTTTGCTTTCATTTCCCAAACCACATGACCTAACTCCACCGCCTGCACCTGCACCTCGTTTTGTTTTTCATTTCTGACTCAAACACCTGACACTTCTCTGGAGACAGATGAAAATATAAAAATGAAATGAGACGTTATGCTAAAGTGCTTAATTTATTTAATTATTTTGTTCTTTCCAGTCTGTTGCTGAGGAAGAAGTCTTCTTACCTAATGATGAAATCTGGGTGTATGAACTAGATGCAGGTATTTGGTAAGAAGACTGAACAAATTCCTGCTTGCTTCTGTTTGCAAAACAAAAAATACCAATGCCTGTTAAGCCCTGACTTTTACTCTGTTTTTCAACTCGAGGAAATTGTGTTGGAGTCATATGACATTTCAGCTATGTTTGGACTTACAAGCACTCTCCTGGGGCTGTTTGACTTCTGAGTTGTGAGTGAATATAAGCAGTTTTTCTGCATTTTTCTTTTCTTTTTCCATTTTTCTGAAGGAAGGTGTTTCACATGGATGGGGACGTCCCTCCCCCCATGTCTGGGACCTGCAGCTGCTACATGAATGGACACATGTACATATTTGGAGGTTGTGATGACAATGGACAGACCAATCAGGTTTGACTGATATTTGAGGAAGTGACCGTTAATGACACGTGTTTTTTTGTAAACGTAGTTATGTTTACATTGTGTGAATGCTTAAGGTTTAGCAAGCACTCCCGATGCTTTCTTTCCTTATGTAACATTTGCAGAGATAGTGTTTTAAAAATAATGTACATTTTATGTTTGCTGTGTCCATGATCAGTAGCTGGAAGTCTTGATCATTTAAAGATTACTCTGTAGTGCCTCTTGTGGTCAAAAACTCCACATAAATCTTTTAATGTTGTGCGAAACAGAAGTATCTATGGGCCTGAACTTAAGGTGGAAAGACCGGAAAGACGCTGAAAGAAAATGGTAAATGGTAAATGGCCTGTATTTATATAGCGCTTTACTAGTCCCTAAGGACCCCAAAGTGCTTTACATATCCAGTCATCCACCCATTCACACACTGGTGATGGCAAGCTACATTGTAGCCACAGCCACCTTGGGCACACTGACAGAGGCGAGGCTGCCGGACACTGGCGCCACCGGGCCCTCTGACCACCACCAGTAGGCAACGGGTGAAGTGTCTTGCCCAAGGACACAACGACCGAGACTGTCCAAATGTTAAATGTTGATAAATAAATGCAGCACAGAGATAAAGGAATGAAGATTTGATCAGTGTTTCTCATCCTACAGATGTACGGCGTCAACCTGGAAGATGGGAAATATACATGGAAGAGGATAATGCATGAGTTTGGCTCAGCCCCCTCTCCCCGAGACAAATTGTCCTGCTGGGTTTATAACGGACGGTGAGCACAGTGAAATTTTAATCAAGTTTAATTTTCAGCATTTTGTTACCACATAAATCACTACAGGCAATCAGTAGTTGTAAACTAAAATCTATTTTTAATATTACTTGTCAAAAACTGGTACTAAAGAAATTTTGAGGACTAGATACTGAATTTTCCCCGCATGACGCTGGTTTGGAAAAGTGAAAGAAAATGGACAGATAAATAGATAAATTAGGTTTCCATGTCCTTTTCATTTTTTTAATTGAATGCTGGGTGTTTGATCTTACTTTGATACATGAAGTGAAGAGGCTATCCATGTGTCTTTGTTTCCTGCACCAATTTCCGAGCAGATTTGGATGTCCACACAATCAACATTTTTTGTCTTTAACTTTATATCCAATGTTTTGCGGTTACTCTCTTTTTATCCCCCGATAATTATAAGCTTATAAGTTAATCTTGTAATCTTGGTTTTACTGTTTTTGGATTTGACGTTAAATCCAGGTTTTGTCAGGCTTTCAACATCTTTTTAGCATTCTTTATCTTAAAGTCATCATCCGAACAAAAACACAACCTGTGTTGAGTTTTGAAAACTATTCAGCGTTACGTCTGTTCTTGATTGGATGTATAATTTTATGTTAATTGGGAATTATCTTTTTGTGTGATGTTTTTCCAGGCTCGCCTACTTTGGTGGTTATGGTCACAAACTACTGAGTGATCTCGACCGGAGGAGTGGAAGCTTTATTGTGGATGAAACTTCATGGGTAGTTTTTTTGTTACTCACTACAAGTCTTTTAGCTGTCTTTGTGAGATTTTTTAAAAGGTTTTTGTTAGAAAAGTTAGCTTCTTTACACCTGCTTAGCTCTTTTGTTATTGCCAGGTGGGAGATGTCTTTTGGGGATGGAACAATGAAGTTCACATATTTGACCCCATGCAGTCCAGCTGGAGTGAACCGCGGACCCACGTGAGTCAGTTTGAGATTAATTCATGCTGGTATTGACTGAAGTCAGGAATTTCATGTGTGGGATTTTTCCCCTGATGCTATAAAACTTTAATTAGTAACTTCACAAGTGGAAATATAAATAAAAGATTATTATTAAGACCTAAGGCTAGGCTTGTTTGACTGTTGCTCACAAAATGTTCCAAAATCGAGCACATGCAATCTTTATACAACACTTTGATGAGACAGTGTATAAGAAATGTGGAACATCTTTGACTGCAGCTCCTGCAGGGCATGCTTACACAGCTGAACAGAAACAGCTGATGCAATATTTCATCATCACCTATGTGTGTTGTTCTTATCCAGTGCAATCTGTAAGAAATGCTACCATGTACAGTGTGAAAAAGGGTTTGCCCTTTTGCTGATTTTTTTGCATATTTGATTTACTTTCATATTACATGATCGTCATTACAGATCATCAAACAAATTGTAGTTTCAGACAAAGATAACCAATGTAAACGCAAATGGCAGTTTTTAAATTATGATTCCATTTATTAAGGGAAAAAAGCTATCCAAACCTACCTGAAAAACAGAATTTTCCCCTTTTTAAAAAGGAATTAACTGTGATAAACCACAATCTGAGTTCAATTTCACTATCCAACCCCAAGACTGATTACCTTTAGACCTGTTGGCTCAAGAAATCACTGAAATAGAGTCTGTCTAACAAAGTGAAGTAGGCTAAAAGATCTCAAAAAGCTACAGAAACAACTGAAAAATCAAATTATTGACATATGTCAGTCTAGAAAGGGTTGAAAAGCCATTTATAAGGCTTTGGGAATCCAGTGACCCACGATGAGAGCCATTATACACAAACGGAGAAAACTCGGAACAGTGGTGAACCTTCCCAGAAGTGGGCGGCTGACCAAAGTTACTCTAGGAGCTCATTGATGACTCATCCAGGAGGTTAGAACAGAAGCCACAAAAACATCTAGAGATCTAGAGAGAGAGGCCAGCCTCACTAGCCTCAGTTAGGAGTTCATAATTCAACAATAAGAAAGAAACTGGGCAAAAACAGCATTCATGGGAGACCACCAAGGAGAAACTTGATGAGCTCAAAGATGTTTGGTAAAATATTCTGTGGACTGATGAGACAAAAGTTTAACTTTTTGGAAGGTTTGAATTCCTTCACATCTGGCATAAAACGAACACAGCATTTCAATAAAGAACATACCAACAGTCAAAAATGGTGGTGGTAGTGTGATGGTCTGGGGACTGGGATGACTTACCGAAATTAATGGAGAGCAGATTGAGTAGAAAATGTCAGATCATCAGTTTTGTGCACCGAAGCTCAAGCATACTTGGGTTATGCAGCAGGGACAATGATCACATTAGAAAGTTTATCTCTGAATGGCTAAAAAATAAGTAAATGAAACAAAATCTGGTGGTACATTTCTGTGTTCATAATGCTATCTATTTGAAAACACCATTGGTTGAAATGCTCTTAGACACTCAATGTTGTACAGAAAATGTAACTTTGACTTTCAGAAAGTCTGGAGAACTCCTCATCAAGAACTTTAAAAACAATTCCAAGAACATCTGGGTCCCTGGAAGCAAAAAAATAAAGAAATGTTGGGGTAGCTTGAGACTTTTGCACAGTACTATACACTGTTTTTGCTTGCAGGGCCGAGCTCCTGCTCCAAGGGCAGCCCATGGCAGTGCTGCGCTCGGATGCAGAGGATACATTTGTGGAGGTAGAGTTATGGTAAGAGTCCCAGTTGGTTTTCAGTGTAGTGTTTATGGATGCATGTTGTGTTGATCAGAGAAAGTTACTTGCGCTGTTTTTTAAATGCAGGAAACCAGGACAAATGACATCCATTGCTTAAACCTTGAATCATGGACATGGTCAGAAATGTATGTAGCCATGTGTCATTGCTATACTGTACCTTTTCACGTGGTGTATGCAGAACCTGAGCTCACAATGAGTTTTTAAGTTAACTGTGTGGATCATGCCAAATCGGTTTTCCAGAATCCCGTTGTCCCCAACTCCGGTGGGGAGATCATGGCACACACTCACAGCAGTATCAGACAACACCTTGTTCCTGTTTGGAGGTCTCAGTGTTGACTGCAAACCAATGAGTAAGAAAATGCATCCTCTTGTTCAAGTTTATTTCCTTTGCTGCTTTGGTCCTTTTATGTCCTCTAGTTGTTTTCTTCTTAGTAAAACAAACCTTGCTCGATTAGGTGATGGGTGGTTGCTTGATGTCGAAACAAAGAAGTGGAAAGAGTTAGAGCATCCCTTTAAGAATAAGCCAAGGTAACAACTTATGAATGTAATATTTATTACTCTGAACAAACGTTATAACAAACGTTATAAACTGTGATCAGATTTTAAGTGGTACCTTCTCCTGTTTAAGGTTGTGGCACACAGCTAATCCAGGCAAAGATGCTGATGTGATTGTGTTTGGTGGAAGTTGTGACTACATCTTGCTTGTCGACACTGTAAGTATCAGAGGGAGATGCATGTAGAAGCTAAAAACAAAGGTGAAGTTAGTTTAATTTTCCACGTCTTTGGAAAACATGACACAGGTGCAACATGAAAACTATGTTTTTGTTTACATGTATGTTATGTAAAATTTAAACAGGGTTTACTCTATACTGCAGGGGGTTGTACTTCAAAGCAAGTTCAACGTGCACAGTTATCGTTTGCTTATCTGGCTTCACTTCCACTGACACAAACAAAGGTGGTAATTAACTAAGTCAACCCTGCGCTTCCAAGCTATGACATGAAAGACAACAATCGTAGACATGGACAAGTCTGCTGGTAGAACAGTTGCATATTTCAGAAAGAAAGGGTAAACTTTTTCTTCATATTAGGAAAATATGAAAAATCTGAACATATAATATCGGTGACACAAATGCAGCCGAAGCAGCACTGTGTAAGTTGGTTTGAATGTCTGCAGCCAATGCAAATTAGAGCTTGTTTTTGACGATCTATGTTTTTTATTAATGCTTATAACAAAAAACATAGACTTTAAACAGTCTTTTTAAACTATAGATCTGCCTTTACATGGGCTCTTCCAGGAATGGTGACACTGTTTTCCAGAGAATTGATTTGTGATCAGGTGGTATTTTTGTACTGTTTATCTCTTAACTGAAACATAACCTGCAGAGCAGGTCAGAGTGCTATATGAGGAAGCAAGTTCAACACAGCTATATCAGAGGTAATGGGTTTGTGGTTATCCACCTCTGTTGAGAAGCAGTTTCTGCCTCAGGCAGCGTGTGCTTTCACATAAAATGGGGTGTCTCACGCATCACATGACCTTCCTTCTGCACAAAATGATCCCTGTGAGTGTACCTACTCCAATCAGAGACAAATGATGACGATATAATGGTGATAAAAAACTATAAAGAACTTAAAAAATACATAACAGCACAATACAATACAACACTGCAAGTAAGACAAGAAATTAATGCTGAATTAAACATTTCGAAGTGCTTTCTTGGTGATAGTTGCACATTACAGCTTGGAATCTTTAAACTGGACATATTTAAACATTAAGGGTTAATGTCCCATAGCCAAATAAAGGACAATCATGAAAATCACGTTAGTTTGTCTGCAGATCAAAGTGAAGCAGGTTTTATTGATTGAATAAGTGTTCCTGGTTATAAAAAGCCTGAACAGTTTCTGATCTGTGTTCTCGTAGCTGCAATTCCAGATGTGTAAACGAGTATTAGCAACTGATTAAAATCGAGTATAAAATATTTGTAAAATTTCAGAATCACTAGAATTTACATTTCATTTAATGCTTTATTACTTTGAGGCTCGTGTATTTTAATTCATTATTATCAGGTCACCCCAAAAGCTCCCTGAAAAGCCAATTGATCCAAAGTGGTGCAGACAGTGTACTGACAGGGACTTGAAAGAGAGACCATATTTCTCCCTTATGAGCTGCCCTATATTGGCTCCCTTCTAAATTTCCCCTCTCCCCCTACTGGTCATGGTGGAAGGGTCACCCCTCCCTACGCCTGGTGTCTGTCTGAGATTTCTTCTTCTTAAAAGGGAGTTTTTCTTTCCGACTGTCGCCACGTACTTGCTCATAGAGTGTTGTGGGATTGTTTCTAGTACACTAAGTACTTTATATAAATAAAACTGAAGCAAACTGAATTAATAGAATAGGGAAAAAAATGGAACTTTGTGATGATTTCAAACCGAACGTGTTCCTGTCTGGGTGTTTTCAACATAGATTACTAAAAAAGTCAGTCCATTTCGAGACTTAGCAAATTAACCCATTAATCCTGATTTGTAGTACTCCCCTTAGGTCTGAAGTACAAGTTACCGTGGCAGTGTACCCTAACATGAAGTGAACTGCCTTTCTAACACTGAAAACCCAGCGTTAACCATGAAGTTAACTGTCTAAGCCCTTAATCTTACTTTGTAAGGCATCAGGTCTCCTTCTCTCTACAGACCAGTCTACACCTGACAATGAAGCATTAAAAAACCTACAGAGAATGTTTGCTAAAGGAACTGATCTAATGAACATAGTTTTGCGAATATGTCTATGGATGTGAACCTATGTAAACCTTGTGCATTTCTTTTCAGGGTCACTGCAATGATGCACTTGTTTTTCAGACGCAACCGTATCCCCTGTTTAGGTAAAAAAAATTTCTATGTGATACGTTTACCAGCAAGATGTCATTTTATTTACAAAAAAAGTAAATACTAACAATTTTGCACTGCAGATATTCTGACTTGAAGAAAAGTGAAATAAATGACTTCAGGAAGGACCACCGAGGTCAAAGGATGTTTGTTTCCATCTGCAGTAATTTGAGTTTGACCCATATGTTTGATGGATGTAGTGAAGGGGGACATGCAGCAACTGAAGAAGAAGGGGGAGCATGGCCCAATTTTGGGAACTTGCATGAAAAAGCTAAGGCAAGAAAAGTAAAAGCGAGATCCCTTGTACGGCACAGAGCATTGCAGCACTTATTAAGTCCGATGCAAAATGAATAGGATGTAAAGTGGGATGGAGGCGGGTTTTCACAGGCGCCATCAGCCTTGCCTGACCTACCGTTATTCTCACTTTATTGCTACAAACAAGTTTGTCCTGCAGCAGCTCCGTTAGAGACAAGTAAAAATATCTGCTGTCCTAAGTATCTGCTGCTTTGTAGGGCACGTTACTTTAAATATGCATTCGTCTCCCAAAATAGAAATGAGAATTGACAGGCTTTTTTTTTCGTCCTGGCAGGATTTGTGAGGATTACATTGCAAAGAATGTGAGGAACAACGAGGTGCTCCGAAATCAACTTCCTCTCCTGCCTCGCAAGCTACTGAAGCTCTTACAGAGAAGGATCTCTTTCTACAGGCCTTCGAAGAAGCAAATGACTAGCTAAAAAGACCTTGAATGCCAATGTATGTTTAAAGTGCTATATTTCTCCTTTATTGTTTTACAAATTAATATTTTATTTTGTACAGTCTGCCTACAGTCCCTGCGATGACTGTGCTGAATAAATGACAGATTGACACTTTGATTTGCCTGATGCAGATTATTACAATACACAGATAACTCTCAGTCAGCAGAACAGAGCAGCTACAGACACGTTTTCTCCCAGAGTAGTCACATGACCAACAACTCCACATTTTCTGCTTTTTTATTTCAAACACACACAAAAAATTTAAAACTCTGCTTCCAAATTTTCATATTGGAAATTTCCTCTAAAAAGTTTGATAAAATTTCACGTTTGTATTCATGCACACAACTTCTGCATTCTGCCACTAAGTGGCAGCAGGCTTTTATTTTGAAGTGTTTCAATGGCTGAATTGTGTCAGCAGAAACAGAGACTTTGCCCAACTAAAAGTCTCTCTGTAGCCACATTCTCGCAGGGTGGAGAAAGTGCAGGAGCTGTGGTCAGGAAGGAAATGTTAGGTAAACATTCTCTGCTCATACCTTGGCAGGGTTTGCTACATGAGAAACTAAAGCCCTGAACACTTTATGCTCCCACAAAACTGCTGGTGGAAACAAGTCTATCTTTACTGCTAAAAGATCACAAGCATGTACCTCTCCTGCTGACATTTACAGAACTGGCAGAAAGGGTCTGTGTTGTCTCATTAAACAGACATGTTAAACCATGTTAGTAATAGGTAGCAAATGAGTGCTCAGTAGGAGTCGAGCTGGACAGTAACACCCTACCTGCTTCAGAAACCCAACCCTTGTGAGTGTGAGGAGAGCTTCCTGGCACATATTCAAGCTGGTGTTTTAACTCTGCAATTACTGCTTCATCTTGTTAAATACGACTTGGCTAAATACACAGACTGGGAGTGATGCTGTTTTAAGTTCAACACAAACTGTGTTCATTATTTTTTTTCCTGGCAACCCTGCATAAATACAGATTGTGCAGCCTTTCCTGCAAGCAGGAAATTTGTCAGAATAAACCCTGGTTCCCTTTCTTTGAATACAAACGGTTTCCTGTCATGAGAGCTTGCTAAAAGAGCTTTCTTAGCTCGGAGGGTCAACTAAACTCTCTTTCAATGGTATCCATCAGCTCCTCTTCGGATCCATCGTACAGGATGACTGGCGTGGTGAGAGAAGAGCCATGGCAGCTATCAAACGTCCTGGGAAATGTAGAGACCCACATCAGGAAGGTGAAGATTACAAACAGAAAATGTGTGACACATATTTAAACAGTTAACCCAACGCTCAGCGTGTAGAGGCCCAAACAAAACAAAACTAACAAAACAAAAATGGCGCTGTGAGAAAGTTGGAATAAAGTTGGAAATATGAATGTTTTTCTTTTTGGCATTCTTCAACAATAGACACTCGTCTGTTTCTCCCCGGCTTGCAAACATCTGGCGTATCTGATATGCTCTGATAATAATGGATTTGGTATTTCGATCCCTTTAAGGTGAATTTGATCTGGCTCTGCGCATTTTTCCTCCACTGAGCTCAGGAATTAATAATTTATTTAAGTTGCCTACTTACGGTTGTTGTTCTGATGTGGGAACGTCTTCTGACAAAGCCTCTGTTGTCAAACAGCCCTGTGAGGAGGACTGACATAAATCAGAGAGGGAAGGATGGAGATTATGTGCTTCATTCAATAATAACTCGCGGTTATTGGACTTTAAAAGCATACTTTTGTTCTCTTGCTCTGATAAACTGGATTACAGTCTGGCAAAAGTACTTAAAAGTAGAAACTTAAAAGTCCTTACATTGTGCTCGGTGGGACACCCAGATGTGTGCTTTTTAACGTGTGCGAAGGCAGAGTTGCCCTTCTTGTTTACATCTCTTGACACACTGTGTGCGACACGTGGCTCTTGGTCTCTTCCTGACGCTCGGAGCCTCGGAGCAGAGCTGAAGTCGTCTTCAGCGTCCTCCTGGCTGAAATGACACAGTCCGTATGTTTTGGATCTGATGAACGTCTTCTTCGGAGGGGGCTTCTTTACCGAAGTGTTCTCTCTTTCTGTGTAATCTGCCATAACTGTGTCCAGTTCTCCATCAATATCCTCCTCATTCCCAGAAAAGTCCGAATCCTGCCCTTCGCTGTGGCAGTCAGGTTGCGCACGGTTACGCACATTGCGCAAAACTGAATGAATTTTAAGAGGCTTGAACAGACGGCTGTCCTTTTGAGGTGAAGCGACATCGGTCCCCGTTTTGGTCACGTTTACCTCGCTGACACAAGCAGGTGCGACTCTTTTTCCTCGGCTTGTACCCGAGCCCATGTCCGTGTGTCTGGGCTGCTAGTGTAGTCTCATTTCCAAATTGCTCCTGAGGCACGCCAAGCGCTTTTGCAGTTGAATATTAACCAACAAAAGCGTGGTCCTTGGCAGTGGTTAAGGTCAGTCTTCAATTAGTTTTACGATAGGAAGGCAGTTCTTTGGCAAAAAAACTAAGCTTTTCTTTGAAATGTTTCTACAGACAGGTTGTTAAAATAAACGGCAGTAAACTTTCGAGTAACTCCAAATCAAGATGAGAAACTGTGTATCCCTTACATAACCAAGTTTGGCTCAGGACCCCAGGGAGGAAACTCCGCCTTCTTATAGGGGGAAACACACATCCTCCATTGTGTCTACTGCTAAAAAAAAAAACATCTGCCTGTGTATTCCCATGGATTTAAGCAACCAATCCCCAAAAAAGGGATATATACGTAAATATTTACGTGTTCCCTTTAATGATAGGGAGTCATTTTGAAAGGCTAACAGGAACAATTAGTCCAATTGGTCTGTATCAGAAACATGACCAGCCTATTTTCCTTCTTCACCTAATAGATTTTATTGGGGCCAACAGTGAGTGAATTCCTGTCACCCTGATGCAGGAGCCCCCCTCCTCCAGTGAATGATTAAGATTAAAGTGCTGGACCATGAGAGAGGGCATTCCTTTCCAACAGCTCAGGCTTCCCAGAGATTCCTCAATAAGCTTTTGTTTGGTCCACTTGCGCATACAAAAGACATGACAGAAGCACCTCAGTGCCAAAGCCGTCCAACAAAAACCCAGAGTGCACCAAAGCAAAGAAAAAAAACTTGTTTGCCATCTTTCATTAAGTGCCTCATTTTCTCTCTCTCTTTTCTTACTTGTGTGTGTGCGCATGCAAGTGTGTGCCAGACAGCTGTGCAACCTGTTCTCTCTGGAGGCTGACCAAGTCAAAGACACCTGTCGTTTAGGAAATTGGCAATGTGAGAGTAGAAAAAAAGCAAGTCGGCCTGCAGGTCTCAAATGTCTCATTGACGAAATGATTGATTATTAGAGAACACACGCAGCATGTCGGCAAATCTTACTTAACCTGCAAACTTTTAAAAGTAAAATGATACTGAAATATAAAAATAGCTCTTCTTCCATACACTCTGAGCTGCAGTTAGCTACATCTCATCATGACGGAAGAGCCTGTGTGGCATCCTGATCACATTTAGTATGAAAACCTCCTACTACTGACTCTCTCCATTTCAGTGATGCTGTCCAAAGATTGGATAATCTCAGAGATTGCCTTTTAGGGGAAAAATGGAGATTCAGAGCTAAGCTGGAAAACTGAGACATCTTCCCGATTGTGGAATAAATTGCATGTATACTGCAGATGTTGCCTCTCTCTCCCAAATGTAAATTAAATCTCCTTAAATGAAAATAAGTCTCGTTTTTCGACAGTAGTCAAACATAAAACTTATACAACAAGCTTACTTTCCAGCCCTGCTTCTCGAGCAGTCTCGTTTATGTTATTTTCAACCTCTACTTCTGTTAACTCTCCGCCTGCACTGCACTCTGGTGTATCATTAAAGTGATCGTGCCGCCACATCTGGAGAAAAATTCAACAGCTTCCAGACGAGGGGGAGGATCTGCCACAAAATAGAAGCCACGGCCCAGCTCGCTACATAACTGTGGTTTTTCTTACTTCTTCCAGATTCAAGAATATTCCTCCAGTATGGATGAAGTTTGAAAGACTGGGAAAAGCATTTATGAAACGCTGACCTTGGATTTGGTTTAGCTTTGTACATCATATCCTATGCAAACTCTGAATCAGCAGACATGTGAGTTGTTTTTGCAGTGCTGTGGATACAAACGTCCTTTGTTCCCTCCCAACAACAGAACAGCATATGTGAAAAATGTTAATTATTATGACTCAGCTGCTCCATTTGGAGGACAACAAATAAAAGCATTGTTGTTGTGTTTGAGTAAAAAGGGAAAGAAACTGCCATATGTTTGTAAAAAAAACAACAACCCCAAAACCAAATCTCTGGAGAGTATTTAACAAGCCAGCTGCCCGCTGATAGGCATTCCAGTAAAACTGCCTGGACCTCTTTCCTCAGTAGACAAGCATTAATAGGACAGGGTCAACAGGATCTACACACCACAACATTGTAAAGCAATTTATTCCTTCTTATTTTTTCATAGCCTAAATGATCTCTTAATGGGGACCACATTGAATCAGACCCTTTTCTTTAATCGAAAAAATATGACTATATAAATATTTCCCTACAGCCTCACAAAAGACCACACCCGTCTTTGGCAAGACCACGTCATATAAATTGATTCATCATCATGATATAAAAAAAAAAAAAATCCTCTTTTTTATATAACTTCAGATTTTGCCTGACAATAATCAGATCCAGACTCCCTTCAGTAACAGAAAAATCCACATGTGTATATGGGATCTTATGCCAACATTTCCAACATAAGCAAAATACTGAGAGGCACTGTTATGCTTTTACTGTTTTAGAAGTAAATTTAATAGGTTTAAAGTATAGCCTAAACAAGTGAACCAAACACACTTCTTAGTTGGATGCCGAAGACTTGGTTAAGGGGCTAGAAAATATATCACACTGCTGAATGTTCTCACAAAGATAGACAAGAAAATGTGTGTGTATGTGTGTGGTGAGCAGGTCTTACTCATGTTGTGGGGACCTCATTTTGTTTACATTGTTACATTCTGGGCACATGGCTTCCTTTCATGAACATAAACAAGTCGCTATAACATAAATCCTTAAATTTAAAGGTGACGGCATGCCTTAAGGTTAAGGTTAGGGATGTAGTAGTTCCCTAGATTAGAGTAAGTCTGCAGGAAATGAATTCAAGGCCATATAATGCCTCTGAAGTCATGGATAAATTACAGATTTTCTGCAGGGAAAGGAAGCCAAGTTGGATCCTTCACAGTCAGATAAAAGGGCCGTTCAGGGTCACATACTGTAGACGTAATCAGCTGAGCAGATGAGCGGAGCTGAGACAGAGGGATATTGTAACTTTCACATGGTGACATAAGGTTGTCAGGGCAACAGTCAGTGCAACCAAGAGGAGTTGAAGTGCAGTAAAAGAACAAGGAGCGTCTGTATTTATCTTTGAGCTCTTAATCTGCTACATTACCAAGCATAAATTAAAGTGTTTGCTTTTGTGATGGCGGTAAAAGTACGTCACAGACAAGCCTGCAAACCTTTAAAGTTAACGAATTCTCCTTAACATAAGAGTCTGGCAGGTCGCTGTAAGGGAGGACTGCCTGCTGATATCTAGAAGTGGTGAAACTGTAACCAGCAGATGGAGCTAGTATTCAACAAAAGCAAATTAGGGTGTCTTCCATGCCGATCCATGCACAGGACAAGTTGTTACTCTTCATGAGCTAAATGCATTCTTTTTTTAAAAAATAACAAAAAGAAAAGCTTAGAGCTCCTTCTATGGGATTTCATAAAATGATACCTTTAGTAATAGTAGTTATTTAAGAAAAACAATGCATTTCACACTATTTTAAACAAAAAAGCAAAATTTTACCACTGAAATGCTGAAGCCGACACAAGGAAATAGACAAAAAAGAAAGGAAAGGACAAAAAAAGAACTCTATAGTTTAAAGTGAAAGTATGTGAGTGTAACAGTGACACAAGTAACCTGTCAGATTATTATAAATACCAAACTATTGGTCATATGAGAGCAAATAACAGCAAAAAGCATGACTTTAATAAATATGAAAAAGTATATAAGTTGCATAAATGCTACTTCATGTTAAAAGCAAAGCATGTTGGCACTTTATATAGCCACGTGTTCTACATGTGGATGTGAAATCAGCTTTGGAGATCCTCTCACTTCCCCACTATTAACTGTTATAACTGTGTCCTGGAAGGTCTTCTCAGGCAAGCCAGTGGTCACCGCTGCAGTGACCCATTTTTCTGTCAAAAGGCCATGTAATCAACAGAAAACAATTACTGCCTCTCTCTCAGGCGCTCGGAGCGCTCAATACTAGCATCTGCTCACTTCCTAATTACCTGCTCGGTAAGAAGCTTCATTTGGAGAGAAACACACGGCAATCAATCCCTGCATTAAACTTGGTTTGTTTGTCAGCATCCTGAAGTGTCACGCTGAAACCTCTGTTCATTTCAGTTTTGTTTGATTAACTTCTGCTTGACCTACATTCTGTTTATTGGATCTTGTATTTATTGCTGTTAATTACCTTTTAAATGTGCCTCTTGTTCATGTTTATATTACGGTCCCCTCCTTTGACTCACTCTTTTGCTCCCAGGCTAGTGCTAACCTTTTCCCCCTGGAGCATGGGTTTTAAAAGTGTATCCTTTGTTTAGTGCTTTTTTCCCTCTGTCTTCTCTAAATTTCTACTTTCTACAAAAGATTGCCTATTTTGTGGAAAGAATGTGTCACCCTGAACACCCACTCTTGTTTTTAATGGTCCCATTGCATGTCTTTGTGCATTTGAAAGTATGCTGAAAACAGTCTTCTTCTTCTTTCCACTGTTCCTTTTAGGACTCCCCACAGTGGGTCGTCTTCCTTCATCTCACCCTATCGTCCTCTTCTGTCACACCAACCCTCTCTATGTCCTCCTTCACTACATCCATGAGCATTTTCTGTGTCAACTTCCTTTGTCTCCACTATTTATTCATCTCAGCCAGACTTCACTCTGATTTACTCGTTTCTAATCTTGTACATTCTGGTCACTCCCAGTGAAGATCTTAGCATCTTCAACTCGACCTCCTGTTGTTTTGTTAGTGACACCATCTCCAAAGAATACATCATAGCAGGTCTTATCAGCATCTTATAAATCTCCCCTTTCACTCTTGCTACTATCCTTCTGTCACAAATCACCCCTGACACTTGTCTCCACCTGCTCTACTTTGCCTGCACTCTTTTCCTCACCTCTCTTGTGCACTGACTGTTGCTTTATATGGTTGACCCCAGGTATTTAAACGCATCTAACTTCACTACATCTACTCCTTGCAGCTTCACTGTTACACCTTTTTTTCTATTATTCACACATGTGTTCTGTCTTGCTCCTACTGACTTTCATTCTTCTTCTCTCCAGAGCATACCTCCACCTCTCCAGGTTCTCTTCCACCTGCTCATTACTCTCACTACAGATTCGCAATTTCATCTGCGTGGAAATTTCCATGGAAATTCATCCCTGAGCTCAGAGATGATCCCTAATGTAACCGTATGCCCACCTTGAGCCTATCTGTAACTCATACCACACACCTCACCACTGCCTCACTGTCGTC